AACTGTTGTTTTGAGGTTAATATTGGTCTCAGTCTGATTTGCTTTTGGTTCATGAACCTCTTATGAGCCCTCAGGTGTTATTACAGCGATATTTTATTAATTCTCTGCATAAGCACGAGCAGGATTTAGCAATAGCGGCTCTTGTGTAGGGAACAGCTTTCCTGGGAGTTTTAATCTTTTCAACAAAAACTCAAAAAGAATCTGTATTTCAGTACCTATTCTCTTTCTTGCTGACTAATGTTAATTAGGCTTTTCTCCAGCTCTGACAGTGGGGCTGGGGTGGTGAACACCACTGCACTTATCATTCCATGTCTGGACGTATTCTTTTCAATGCTTTAATTATTACATTTATAGGGAAAGTACAAATAAAGGTTAATTACTTGACTGAAGGGAGGTTTCAGGGCAGTGACACTACCTGTCTGTGAGCTGTAAGCTGTATTACAAAGAACGCAAAGCTCATTAACGTTTTTCTTTTTTTTTCCTTTGGTCATTTAAAATAGAGACTTTATTTTCACATTGTCGGGACATGGTTCGGAAACCAAACTCAAGCATCAAATCCAGTATGTTGTTAAGGCTATGCCTGTGCTCTCTGTGCTTAGAACTGAAGTTAAAACAAATTTCCCTTTGGGGAAAGACTCAATGACACCTACATTCATCAATTTGAGATGCACAAATTTCCCTTTTCCAACTAATAGGCAGATTTTCAGTTAAATGTCCTGCTGCTTCATGCTGGTTTTCAGGTTACTGTTCCATGAGTTTTTCCTGACAACATTCAATCAAACACCCTGCAGTAGAACTGGAATCATTCAATAAATGGTACCTCAAGCACAAAAAAAAAACCCTGTTAAAGCTGCTTTGCCCTGAGGATATTTTAAACACACACCCTCTGGGAGGCCGCGCTGGTTCATCATCAGTAAAAATAATGTCAATGCTTTTTTCAACACCTTGACAGTTCAATGTTCTAAAACAGTTTCCAGCTTGACTCTGGTTATGTTGTTGGTCGCCTACTTTGTGTTCTGTTGTCGTAATAAGCACGGTACAAACCATATCCAATATGAAAGCAGGATACACTCCCATTGGGAGACTTTAATTGCTCCTTCAGTGATGTCATCAGCACATGTCAGTCTGACTAATCTTTATCTCACTGTCCTTCTCTCTCCTTGGCTAGGTGTGTGTTTTATGTGAAATTTGACTAGGGGAGGAAATATAGCAAGTGCAGCATATGAGCCACACCCAAAGCATTCTGGGTAAATGTAAGCTGTCCTGAATCAATGGCATTGACCTTCTACACCGGTGTAGACGGTCTTTAGCCCAAACTATACTTTTAAGCATAAACACATAATGCACTTTCACATATACTGTTTGACTAAAAAAATTGACAGAATAAATACATTAAATACACAACCATTTTTTTCTATGCCCAATTATTCTATAGAGTCTTTATCAGGCAAAGGTGGTGGGCCACACTCTGGACAGGTTACCAGTCCATCACAGCTACGCAGAGAGAAATGATATATATCAATTCAGAGTCATTGATTAACACTCGGTCATAGTAACCTACACATTGGAGACCAATAAGCATACATGTTGTTGGTGGTAGGAGGCATGCAGTGTACCTGGAGGGAACCTCCATATAAACCGGGACATCTGAAGGCCCCTGGCTGGGATTCAAACTGAGAACACTCTTACTTTGAAGTAATAGTGCTTCCCACCACAACATTATTTAATAGGATTTCTGAATAAAAAGACAGTTTAGGTGGTTGAATGCTTGATGCATTTCTGACTTTGCAGTGAAGTCCAGTGAGCTGGATGAAATGTTGGTGTAAAATGGGCAAGAACAGTTGCTAAGAAGCCATGACTGGAGGACTGGAACTGATGGAGGAGCCAAATAAAAGGCCATTGGGGATTTTAGGGATTCAAAGAGTGATCATACAGAAGTTTCATCCAAAGCAAGCCTCAGACGAGCTGATAGGTGGAGGAGGGAAGTCTGGGCTTCCTTACTGTGGAGGCTGGCCCTGCAACCCAACTGTACGCAAGCAGAAGATGGATGGATGGATGGATGGATGGTGGATGGATGGATGGATGGATGGATGGATGGATGGATGGATGATGGATGGATGGATGGATGGATGGATGGATGGATGGATGGATGGATGGATGGATGGTCTATTTAGTGTGGAAAAACTATATTCATGGTTTTGATTTTTATTTTTATAAAAATGTATAAATCAGACTTTGGAAAGATTTCTATAAAATGATGTATTCTCATTTCCTTACCAGGTGGCCAAATAAATGTGTTAAGCGCTGTAGATGTGTAACAGTGTGATATACACATGTGCAAAAACAAGAATATTGGAAGATGAATTGTGTGTGTGAGATAAATTCCAGGAACATAAATGGACCCAGGGGTGTGCAAGAATCCCTGAGCAGAACATCCATAATCCGAAACGTGTGAAGCGTGCTGAGCTAACATGGGTTTTAGTTGTTACATTCCACCAGCTTGCATTAATTTCTGTCTGTCCCTTCAACAACCATGCAGTTCCACTTTCAAACTGCTTAATTCCTACTTAACTGACAAAAATGATGTAAAACTCTGTAAGATTTGCTGAAGTAAAGCAATGTGCAACATAAGTCAGAGGGCAGAGTACAGCAGAGCTACTCTGCATCCACACACAGACAACCAGGTCTCCTCCAAGTGAACCCACACCACTGCATACAAGAGAAACTGAAACCAGTGCAGCAGTCTCATTAGACCAGTATTGATCCATGTCAATACCAACATTGGTATTGGCATTGTTGATAAGTTGGGCGGATTTAGTCATTACTTATAGACACTGGCTGAGGTCCAAATCTGGCTCCAGCTCTGGGTCAAAAGCAATCATCTGGACACAACCCGCAGTTCCCAGCTGAGCAGCCTTGAATGGGGCGTGGCTTTAACCACACATTTATCCAGGCTTAGGTCGGGAACACCAGGAACCATGCTGGTGACCCCTGACCCCTGTCAGCTCAGCACCATATCACTGTTTGTAAAATGAAATAGTAAAACACACTTGATGCCCATGGTTGAACCATTTTATCTGCTGAAATAAATAAATATATCTCTTCCCTTTCTTTTGTGTTTTCTAAGTACTGGAGGTGTTCCCTTAAATCCTTTTCAGCCCTAATGTCGGTTCAACTTAAATATTTAAAAGCACTGGTATACTGGCCGTGTATTTGTTTGGTATCAGATTAATAGCAAAATATGTAGTATCGCATTCCTCTAAAGTTGAGTCATGTTGGGTAGGTGGGTAGGGGAAAACCTCTGTATATAAACATGTATACATTACTCAGAGGATGTGACTTGAGGCTGGGCATGGGACAAAGATAGCCCATTAGATTGTAGTTTGCCTTTCAGGCTCAGCGACCTTCTCACCACAGCAGACCAGAACAGCACCATCTGAACATCTCACCCTCAGAACCGCCATCACTGAAGAACCCAATACCAGGACACAAACTCTTCTCTCTGAGGCAGGGACCCCTGTTTTAAAATCCATTCTTAATTACTACTTCTGCTGACCACCAGTGCAGATTCTGCTCTTGGTCCATGCTTCTGATGACTTAGTGAATGCCTCTGCTCCTTTCCTGCCAACAGGAAAAGAGAATGGACAGGTTGGCAGAGAGCAGGTCTTAAAGACACTCTGTCATGTTCAGTCACGTTTCTCTTGCTGTATTTAATACATTCCAAAAAGTAAAAACTCTGATGCAGGGTCCGCTACTCTCTCCTCCATTCCTGCATCTCTCCATTAGTGAGAGCACTTAATGTTTAAGTGATAGTCAATGTTAAATAGAAGACTCCACAGTTTACATCACAAGAGTGCCTCTCATCACTGGAGTTCAGGCACTGCATTAAATAATCTGTTAACTCAGACACTCACTGTGACTCTCATTATTCAACATGACATGGAAGATAAACTCTGACTAAATCTCAATAATTCCCTTAGAACCCTCAGTCATAGTTAGTTCCACATTAAAGACCAATGACTCCATGACTCCTTATAGATCGGTATGAAACTATCATGAGTGGTCGTGATCTCCCATTTTTACGCTGCAGTTTTCCCTCTGCATGACTAACAGCTGTTCAAATGTTAGAGAAATCTTTAGTCTCAGTCAGAAATCAAACAAAAAGTAAGTTTAATGGAAGTTTGCGGCTTTGTCTGCCCTGCCAGCATCCCTTTCTTTACCATTCAGAAGTGAAGCGTCATCCTCAGGCTACTTCTAAAAATTCTCCATGGCAGTCCATTTAATTTCTCTATTTCATGTGAAAAAAGGCCCAATTCTTCTTGTGCCTGCATGGCAGTTTGACTGCCTCGTGGGTTTCCGACAGGGTGAATGAGAAAAAGTCTAAAGTGCTTCATTCAGTGATGCTAAAAGATGCAGTAGAAGTGCATCTTTAGTGAAGATGCTCTGTGCACTCCTTATTTTGCGAACCTCCTTAATAACTATCAAAAGAAGGGAACAGACAAGAGTAGAAAAAGGCATGGTGAACAAGCATAAAATGAATAGGTACTTTTTAGGGTTCCTAATTGATGTGGTGGTTTATTTTTGGCTGGCCAGTCCATTTTCAGGGAGACAAAAAGGTGAAACAGCATGGCTGAGAATGAGGAAACAAGAATAGCCGCCAATATGTGAAATACCAATTTAAATCGACAACTGACAAGATGATAAAATACTTGCCACCTGAAAAGGGAATTCCTAATGACCCATAACTAGTTACAGCTTGAGATGAGTTTTAAAAACTTGTTTGGTTTCCCTTCTTCATTGTCATATCCGCAATTATATATTTAAAAGATGGCCCATGTCTGTGTGTCTTACTGCTTACTTTTGATTTCACCTTTCCGACCGTACGTGTGTTTGGAGGATATCTAATCTTCTGAAGAGACTTTCCATGAGTGACAATCCGTAGACTCACATTTCGTTCAGACAAAGAAAGAGAAGACTGAAGTTAAGATAACGGGATGCACCTTTCTCTTCCAGCCTCCATGCAGCTTGAAGTCTCTTTCTTGACGAGATAATTGCAGCATCTTGATTCTTTTCCTCTACACACATTATGTCGACTTCTACTGGGATCTGTTGATAACCCAGTTTCAGCCAAGTTTTACCTGTGGGACATAAGGTCTCCCATCTTTGATTCTTTGGTATCCAGAGGACTTCATTGTGGACTCAGTCCAGCTCCCATCGCTGCAGAAAGCTGTCAAATCAATCCCCCCCCCACCGGGCTGGTAGCTGGGACAAAGTGCATATATTCCTTGTTTGGTTTTCAGTGCATTCTGACCAAACTTCTCCACTTTGGTCTGATCCATCCAAAGTGCATTTTTCCAGAAGTCTTGTGGTTTGAACAGATGCAGCTCTGCAAACCTAAGCCATGATACAATGCTTTTTTTTTTTTTTACAGAGAAGAGGCTTCTTATGGGAATCCCTGCAAAAAAGCCATCCTCTGCTGTCATGGACTTTGAACTCCAACATGGCAGCCAAGGCCTGCAAAGTTTCAGATATAACTCTTTGGATTTTGACCTTAAAGTTAACTTGCTTGGAAAGACTGAACGTTATCTTGAATGTTTCCACTTGTGAATAATCTTGCTTTCTGTAGAACTATGAACTGCAAATAGTTTAGACATGTCTATCTTCTTTGCATTGTGATAACATGCACCCAAATGCATCAGATTAACAATCCCCCAATGTTTCATGTTGGTGCTGACGCTTGGTAATGATCAATTAATCAGATCATTTGATAACAACTTCTTCAATTTATATTGTAAAAAAGACATATGCCTCATTTTTACAAAGTACTTTTTCATGTAACTGAGGTTTAATAAAATTGGACTGATAAGACCACACCCACCAGGATCACAGACCAGGACAACATCAGAGAAGTTAGAAAGCTATGCACTTACTTGTAAAATCACAAATACAGGACAGGATGCATACCTGGGAACTAACATTCTGCTAAGCTGTGGAGCACATTTTAAGACCAGTAGACGTCACTGGATGTGCCACTTCTAAACGGTGTTTATATGTGGTATCAACATGAGTCCATGGTTTTCTGTTCACACGTGCACAGCTTTACACACAGGAGTGGATTCAGTGAGCGTGCGCTGATGGCAGATCAGAGCAGGTCACTCAGGCCGCGGTCAGAAAAGATTTACATCCACAGAGCGCACAGAATGCTTTCAGGGAATGTGTCTCCTGACCTGAAAAAGAAACTCACCACCAACATTTTTTCTTCCTTTCACATTTTCTTTTAAAATTGAATATATTAAAAACTAATGCAATGAAATTAAGCATAGTTAAAAGACTATTCTAAATTATGTAACAAACCATCTGAAGGAATATACTGACCAAATTTCAGACAAAAGAACAAGAAAAAATGTTGAAAATGAAATGTAGGGAGCTAATAAGGTTTATAGATAAATTGTTTTAACACTGTCATGCTTGTTTTGATTCTGATTTTTTTTTTATTGCATACACTGTGGTGAAAATATAAAATACTTTGAATTCATTAAATCACATGAAATCAGCTCTGACAAAATGCCTCATGTGAGGGGTGAGAATGTCAGAAGTGCAAATATTACGTTCGGATGTTGACTAGCATACATGAACAGACTCAGTTCTGCACAACTGACCATTTATTCAATGATTTTGATTGGGAAACTTATTCAAGTATTAGCAATTAAAGAAAAATTAAAAAGTGGAATCTTGAACGTGTTGATAAGATACAGACCAGCGTATATCCGAGGAAAAGGAGGTGAAAAAAGCTACTTAGTTATAAACACATGCAGTTATCTGCTGCTATCTGATTAAGAGTTCCCTTGGTACACGTGTACATATTTGTTACAGGAAGTGTTAACACACGTACTGTACTTAGCACATCCACCAGCCAGGAGGCATATCAACATCAGATGTGAACATGCCCAGGATTTACTAACTCCCTCTCTTACTGTTACACTTACAGAGACAGCATCCTGCAGGAGACAATGCTGCAACACCCAAACCATGTTTTAATTGTAGACAGAGACAGTGTTCATCAGTCAGAAAACAAATAAGTGAATACATAACTGAACTGTTTGCACAAGTTCTGCTCAAGGTTTGGGCCTCTTAAAAGGAAGTTTTTCCTTGCCTGTGTCTACTACTGCTGCTGTTGGAGGGAATTGTCGGGCCTCTGTAAATAACTTCAGACCTCCTCTGTTTGAAAGCTGTGAGATACCTGTTGTTGTGATGTGGCATTATGGAAATAAAATGTAATTGAATTGGCGCTTAACCACTAATTTGAGTCTCTTTAAGACACGTTGCATTTAGTTCAAAATAACTTTTGAGTTGAAATAGCTCAATTCAGAGAGTAATAATAGTTATGATAAAAACTTCCCAAAAAATAACGGGATAGATTGTTAAAAGAAGTCTTGATATTCACCTTGTTAATGGCATTTGTCCCAGCAAGTTCCCTATGCTTTTCTGAGAGACAGTGAAGGATTATTATTTTCTGTATCTTTCTTCCTTTTCATTATTAAAAAAATAATAACAAAATTAAAAATGATAAACAGATACAGTAAAAACAAAAGAAAATAAGGGAGGTCAAACTAAGTGGGATTCTCGATGTGAAAAATTAGGTTTTGCAGGTCTGTATAGAATATTGTTCTGACCTAAGTAAGGGTTCAGACTCGTGTTATTGGTAAGTTTGCTCTCTTTTGCCATCACAGCAACCTGAACATTGGGTAACCATCACCACAACCTGTGGTGTTTAATTGCATGCAGCATTCAGGTAATTGGTAGGATGTCAGGCTGATTACCAGTCTTTCATTTCCCCAACCCTCCAAAGCTGGCTCCAGCATAGCAATCAATTCCATGAGACCACTGTATGAAGCTTATGTGTTAATGATATCGCTTACTTTCAAAAGTGAACTTAAGAAGGCTGGAGTAAATTATGGAAGACGTTACACAGACGGCCTTCAGGAGTCTGGCAGTCCATCTGTTTTCTTAGCCTTGCTTTGTGTGCTTTTGGAATATTTGAATTTCTACATTGTACTTTATTTGACCTCACTAGAACAAATTATTTGAGCCACTTGTTACCGTGGTTAGACCATCCAAAAAAACATGCAAGTCTATCTCCACATGTCCACCAAACAAGGATAACGGCCAAGACAAAGCTTCCTGAGCTACTCACCAACTTCCTGTTAATTCTACTTCGCACAGAAGAAATGGAACTGTCTATGTGTGTAACTGCTGTACGAACCAGGCTAACAGGAGCCCCCCTCTCTGTCCAGCAGTGGAAGTGCCACTCTGCATGGCTGTTTATGTTGACCACATGTGTCTGGACATTGTGGATCTCTTTAAAATGAAGACACTATATTACTCCAACTGCCCCTTGCATGTCCTCGGTGACGTGCACATGCACTTTGATAACGCTAACTCTGCAGGCTTTTTACCTCCAGTGAATTCTTTTGAACCACAACAGGTCTTTTTTTTCCCCAACTAAAAAGGCCAGCACAGAACTCAACCTCATCTTCACTTCAGGCTCCCCACTTTCTCCACAACTTCCCAAACCTCTGCAACCTGGCCCTCAGCCACTCCCCAGCGCCAGCTGCCTCCTCCCCCCTCCAGGAGTTGTACTTTGTCTAGAACTACATACATACTGACTATCAGAAACTATTGACCAGGAGCTTCAAAGTGTAGCCATTTTTCTACTTTCTCCTCCAGTTACCAATCTCACAGTTAGTTGCTCCATTCCATCTAAAAAATAGCAACTAGCAGCAGTCAATTCACTGAATCAATCCTCCTGTAGTCAGAAAAATGATATACAAATCTCCACAGTGATCAGATTTTTGCTAATATTTAAAGATTTAAACATATGTAAAAAAAGAAGCAATGATCAAGAGGGAGTCAATTCCAGAAGGGCTCTCCACCCTTTTCATTCTTTGAATCTATAAAACCATATTTTCAATTGTTTGTTTTTTTAACTTTTGCATAGTCCAAAGGAAGCTAAACTTCATATGGAAGATTGGAACATTAATATAACTTATACACATAATTACACTCTTTTCACCATTTGAATAGACTGTCTGTTTGCTTCTTCCGGGTGGTGTAAAAAAAATATGCACAGTGGAGGAGATAATGAGAACACTGACATGCTTTCTCACAATTTGTTAAAGAATAGGACTAGTTTAATCCTGATCCTGTCCAGATCAATTGTGTTTATAAGCATGCACATCAGTATTATATATATCAGTATATCAGTTTTATACATTATATATTTAACAAAATGCTGTCACAAGACTCTCATAATACTGAGGCATTGGCAGGGTGTAAGTAAGTCATCCTGTGTGTGCATGGAAGTCTCCAGCTCAATTTGATTTTTCAAACACAGTAACCCATGGTAGCAGAGAGGTTCTTTAAAAAAATAAAATTATTGATGCTTTGCAAATACAGGTTAAATTGTGGGAATTGTCAGTACTCACATAATTGGTGAAATTAATTGTTGATTTTAGTTATGACCTTTTTCATTTTACACACTGGAGTCATGGTGCAAACATTGTTCCCCTGGATCCTGCTACAGGAGGAGCTCAGTGCTGCTCCAAGACAAGAGATGGAGAAGAAAGAGGATGAATCATTTGTGCAGCCTGCAGATAAATTACAATGCATAGAAGCAAATGGTCCAAGCGCAAGAACGATCAGCCTGACAAGTTTGTGTAACAAGATTCTGGATAGGCATAACGGACCTGTGTCAGAGTACCAGCCGAGTCACACAAAAGCAGAAGTATTCAAAAGAGCACGACTCCTTATCATGAAAGTCCTTTTCATTTTTTGCCCTCTTCCCTGACCATGCTACCATTACGGTAAAGTGATTCAGTGCCCTGTCAGTCAGAGTGGAGCCAGAAAGACTGTTTGATGATGCATCATGCATTTTGATGAAAAGAGGATTGGGCTGACAGCAGAGAGAGGAGCTAATTTTCCTCATGAGGATCCTACCGATGGATCTCAAAGAACAATTTCAGGCCCCACATCAATAAACCTGGTGTTCCTTACTTAAGCA